GACTATGTTGTATTGGCGAAGCAAAGAATAGCTGCATGTGGCTTTCACTTCCGCATACTTGACATTCGTGCTAACTTTGGCACAGTAAGAGTACTTGTAAACCACATTTCCATTATTCACCCTTTAATCTTAGTGTAAACCAGCTGCATTTGAATGCTCTGGTGCTTTTCTTGATGATGGCAACAGTATCCATGTACAAAGATGGATACACCATTAACGAACGAGAATGAGTCTGATACAGCCTGGCAGCCATCTCAGTTTGGGCAGCACGTCCAGGCACAACACCGAGCTAATGATCACTGCCTAGAATGCTCCAGCCTCGGCGAGCTCCAAATTTCCAGCAGCCATGACATCATAGACGCAATGATCCTTTTGGTCTCCCCAGTGTTCGCAGACCTTCTCCGCAGCAGTCTGGGCAATGGATTCACCAAGACGACGACCCACCTGTTTCAAACTAGGCATATTGCAAGTGACAGGGTGCTGTGGGTGCCTGTTTTTGCTTTGGAAGAGCTTGGGCTCACTTTCCAGAACTTGCCATTCGTTTCCAAAGGCATTAGCATCTGTCAGGGCAGTTCCATTGCGGGCAAGCCACTTGCCAGTCCTGTAGTCTCCCAAAAGACCCTTGCTATTTTCATACTCTAAAGGAGTGGCACCAACTGTCTTGATGCTGAGAAGGTCCTTGAAGGATTGGAGGACAATCTGCTTTCCCCTGCCAAGCTCAATCACAAACGTGTCCTGCTTGGAGCTCTTCTTCTCGTGCTTGATGGGGTATTTGTCAATCTTGTCCAGCTCAGCATTGGAGATTCCATTCACCATGTAACCACCATATTCACCGACCTCCAAAGTGTCCTCTCCAATGCGGACAGCGGCAGACTCAATGTAAGAATACTGGTTGCGTGCCTTTGTCCTAATGTGGATGTCCAATCCAGTTCCCTCATCAAACTCAGGGCTGCTGATAAAGATCAAGTCGCACTCCCCATGGAAGTCATACCACTCATTCATCCATGTCTAATTACAAACAAAACGGAACACTTGGTTATTCCAACCAAATAAAATTCATCAACTGGGCTGATTGTGGCTTGCTGAGTCATACCTTGAAGTGTGGGTCACCCATGCCATACGCTTCTCCAGGCTGCTCTTCCTGGGGTGGGTCTGTTATTCCCTTTGCCGCTCGAAGCTGTGCTTCTGAATAACCCAAGGAGATGTGCAACTTGTAGGTGGCACCATTTGGAATCCAATTTGTTGATGACTGATGAGGAGAACGGCAACATTCACCCACAGCAACAGTGTATGTGCCAGGAGTATTGAAAGTGTAGGTCAAGTAGGAGTCAAAAGGGGCGCTTGAGCCAGGATCACCACCGTCATCATCATTATATGCAAGGTAGTTTCCATTTGGGCCATACAGAGTCAGAAACGAATCTATGATGCCTGTATTGTCCACGTCGAAGATGGAAGCAATCATTCCTGTATTGGGGACCTCAAATGAGTAAAAGTCATAAGTACCATCCCCAGTCCCCTCAATGGTTACCCAAGGAAGTGTAGCAGAGTTTGAAATAATAGGATTGTACCCAAGAGTAAAGGCAGCAATGGGGATTTGCTGCAAAGTGGAAAGTATAAGACGAGGTGAGGGAAAGAACATGCCATTTAGATAGAAGACAAGAGTGAGGACAAACCTGAGCAGTGTTAATGTCATTGTTGGGTTCTTGTTCTTGAATGACAGAAGCGTGAGCCACTGACATGAGGGTCAGAAATCCAGCGACGACTGAGGAAGACTTCATGGTTGCCAATGGTAAGATCTGATGATCGTCGATTGAGATTGTGAGAAGGTTGAGTTTGTGTTGCTCTCTTCTGTCTGTTTTGGAAGCTTGGGTCTCTGGTGGCCGGCTGAGGTGTAAAGTTGGTTAATGGTTAATCTTTTGCCAGGCAGGAATAGAGAGGTGGGCGATTGATTCCATTCTGGTCTCTGCTGGAAGGAAGCTTTGCAATAGTGACTATCATTGCGCAGCCTGTGAGTAATCTTACTTAGTTCAGTCACTTTTTGCTGGTGTGAAAGAGGGTTTTGTAATGCAGGTACTAGTAGATACGGTAAACATTTCTACTATTTTGAAAATCAACCCTAGCTCTATTTACCTCAACCACCTTTCAAATGTAGTCTTCGTGCCTCCTGCCCTTACCTTCAAAAGGTGAAAGTTTCCTCACACGGTGAACTTCTCACAGTGCGAGGCTACTGTTCTCTAAATAGCCTGAGACGATCATCTGAATCTGGACATAGAAATAGCGATACCCCCGAGACAGACACTGCAGAATGCATTGTCGTGCTGGTACAGTAGTGCCCATGTACGCTTGTGCGGTTTCCTGCATTGCATCGTATCCACTGTCCAGGATACCGGTAATGTACTAGTGTCCAATGCAGTGATGGCCTTTTCGTGCTGGAAGAGGGACAGAAATTGATTGGAACAGGTCGCTGTAACAACTGCAACTGTAATCTTTGCTTCAGAAAAATTCCCTACAGTGTACTAGTACCTGGCACCGGTACCTGGTACGTGTACCGGACAGGAGGATGGGGATGCTCATACGAATTACCAGCCAGCAAAATTCCGTACTGGTGTGTTGCTCCAATACGGGACAGGTATCCATGTACCGGTAGGCCTCCTTAGGTCCTCAAGAAGTTCTTTTTTTGGTCTTTGTCACTGCTGCTGGTCCCACGTAAACTCTCAAGCATCGCTTTGTCACGAATACCTTGCTGGTGGTCTGTTGGCCGGTACGGTACGGGACAGGTATCTATGCGCATCTCTGTTGTCGGATAATTCAGTCACCAGCGACCTTCCTACTCTAAAACTCCGTTATTACTCTACTAGCTAGTAGAGACTAGCTGGCTAGTTGGAGCTTTTTAAACTCCATGAGCTACTGTACTTCGTGTAGTTTTTTAATTGGATTGCTAGCTAGGTTGGCCACGGTACACACGAACTTTCCGTATCGATATGGTAAAATTGTTTGGTCCAGTAGATCTGTTCCTCACAAGCGGTACGTATTTCACTAACTCCACTGGCTTCTTATCACCTGCGAGAAAAAGAAAATCGAGTGACAGTCGAATATCCACGTCTCGCTCCCAAACGCTGAGCTGCAATTCAATCAGAACATGTCTGGAGGCGCGGAAGCTCAGCCGATCGAGGACATTATGTCGATGAAACCCTCTCCTACCGTATGGCAGTGTTTCTGGCGAGGGCATGGTTTCTGCAGTACTGGTACTGGCCATGGTTTACCTTGCTTCCGCTGAGGAGGAAACGGCCAAGGGAGGGAAGCATGGAGGCGACTTCTTTAGTGCCGTGTTGGGAATCATCAAAGGAACGATCTGCGATTCTCTATTTGCCCCATGGATTGGCCAAATCCGGGTATGCAACAGCTATTCACATCATGCTGTTGGTAACTTTTTTGTTTCTATAGCTGTCAAAGCGTGCTCGACAGTAGGAAGTTGGAGCGTGATTCTCTGTTGAGTCCAGGACCATTGGACGTTTTTGGGTTTGGGATTAATTTGTTTCAATTTCAATTTCAAAATCCTCCCTTATGTTAAGGGAGGATTCGAAGTCTTAAGGGAGGATAAGGGAGGATTTAACGATTTTAAAAAGGAGTATGGTGAATCCTTTTTTTAAGATTTCCTTTATTCACCTTTTAATCTTACTGCAAACCAGCTGCATTTGAATGCTCTGTCCTCTGGTGCTTTTCCTGATGACGGCAACAGTATCCATACAAAGATGGATACACCATTTTCTTACATGCAAACAAACAAGAAAGAGTCTGATACAGAGTTTGATACAGCCTGGTAGCCATCTCAGTTAGGATGATGCGTCAAGGTGTGACACCAAGAACCTTCCCTACCAATCCAGCCAAACCATCCTGCAGCAAACTCCTGGCATTGCTTTCTTACACTGGACACACACATCACTCAAGGTGACCAGAGCAGAAACCTCTGCCTAACTTCACCAATGATCACTGCCTAGAAAGCTCCAGCCTCAGCAAGCTCCAAGTCTCCAGCAGCCATGACATAGACGCAATGATCCTTTTGGTCTCCCCAGTGTTCGCAGACCTTCTCCGCAGCAGTCTGGGCAATGGATTCACCAAGACGACGGCCCACCTGTTTCAAACTAGGAATATTGCAAGTGACCGGGTGCTGTGGATGCCTGTTGCTTTGGAAGAGCTTGGGCTCGCTTTCAAGAACCTGCCATTCGTTTCCAAAGGCATTGGCATCTGTCAGGGCAGTTCCATTGCGGGCGAGCCACTTGCCAGTCTTGTAGTCTCCCAAAAGACCCTTGCTATTTTCATACTCTAAAGGAGTGGCACCAACTGTCTTGATGCTGAGAAGGTCCTTGAAGGATTGGAGGACAATCTGCTTTCCCCTGCCAAGCTCAATCACAAACATGTCCTGCTTGGAGCTCTTCTTCTCATGCTTGATGGAGTATTTGTCAATCTTGTCCAGCTCGGCATTGGAGATTCCATTCACCATGTAACCACCATATTCACCAACTTCCAAAGTGTCCTCCCCAATGCGGCCAGCAGCAGACTCGATGTAAGAATACTGGTTGCGTGCCTTTGTCCTAATGTGGATGTCCAATCCAGTTCCCTCATCAAACTCAGGGCTGCTGTTAAAGATCAAGTCACACTCTCCGTGGAAGTCATACCACTCATTCGTCCATGTCTAATTACAAACGGAGGAGACAGCACTTGGTCAGACCACAAATAGTTTCATCAACTGAAATGATCATGGCTTGCTGAGTCATACCTTGAAGTGTGGGTCTCCCATACCATAAGCAGCTCCAAGCTGAGCTTCCGAATAACCCAGGGAGATGTGCAACTTGTATGTGTCGCCATTTGCAACAGCGCCACCTGGGAAATCTCCACAACATGAACCCAGAACAATGGTGTATGTGCCAGGAGTGTTGAAGTTGTAGGTCAAGTAGGAGTCACGGCGTACATTTGAGCCAGGATCAGGAGAATTCCGATCATCATTATTTGCAATTTGGTTTCCATTTGAGTCATACAGAGTGACATATGCATCAAAGCCCACCGCATTGTCCACATCAAAGATGGAAGCAATCATTGCTGCATTGGGGACCACAAATGAGTAATAGTCATGAGTACCATCTCCAGTACCCTCAATGGTTACCCAAGGAAGCGTAGCAGAGTTTGAAATAATAGGATTGTATCCAAGAGTGAAGGCAGCAAGGGGGATTTGCTGCAAAGTGGAATGTAGAAGGTCAAGGTGAGGGGAAGAACATGTCATTTAGATAGATGACAAGAGTGAGGACAAACCTGAGCAGTGTTAAGGTCGTTGTTGGGTTCTTGTTTTTGAATGACAGAAGCCTGAGCCACAGACACGAAAGTCAAAACTCCAGCGACGACTGGGGAAAATTTCACGATTGCAAATAATAATAAGATCTGATGAACAAGATTGGACTGGAGCGTATCTGAGGCCTTTTGGCTTTCTTCTGGGTGAGATTGTGAGAAGGAGGCAGGAGACTTTTTTGGCTACGGCTGTATGATAGCTGGCAAGAAGACGCCGCTATTCCAGTCACACCAGTTTCCGGTCGCGTAGAGCGTCGAGTTGAGTCGAGTCCCAGCAATTGAAGCGGTACGGTACCGAATGCGAGACCACCGCTAAGCAAATGACGGATGCTTCAGTAGTCACCATGCGACCTCCCGATTAGAAAACATCCTTTAGTCAACGACAGTACACTCAGCCACTCAGCACGCAGTCAGTGCTGAATAAAATAGTTGCGGTTCCGGGTTGGTACCTTGGCCACGGTACAATCCGCAGCCACGGTACTTTCCATAGCCGAAAAATGGTTTGTTCCAGTCACGAAAAGAAAATCCAGCCGAAGATCCAGGGCTTGTACTCCCTCTGCAAGAGGCAGCCTTTTTGGAATCTGACAGAGAAACCGCAACACCACCCTTTGCATTGTTGCCTTGTACATCTTTTTCTCCTTGACTTGTTGGATGGCGTTGGGCAACAATGTGAGGACAGGTACTCACGACATCTTTACCTCGGGACCAGTTGATACTTTGGTTCAGTTTGCATTTAGCCTTGCTGTCATCTTCACATTTCCTCTGCTGCTGGCAACTGCTGCCAGGACGATGGACAAGCTTGATAGGGGTGTGAGCTTCTTGGGAGGGCTGCCTGCTTGGGTGTTCTATTGCCTTCATTTTCCATCCCATTGTCCATCTGAGGCTCGCCGAACGATCAGGAACCCTTTCGCACAAACGAAAAGTCGTGAACACACTCTTTGCACTGATGGGGTTCCTTGCCATGGTTCTATCAACTACGACGACGCTGTCGTAGACACGATTCTGGGGGCTGCTAGCAAATGATGAAAGATCCTTTCAATGTAACACGCACTTCATATGTTGTCTATAGTTTTGTTAGTATTGAAAAGTAAATAGAGAGGTCGTGTACCAGGAACGAGACCTCAGCTCACATGTACAGCATAAATAGAATAGATAGATATTGCCTCTTTCATACCTCTGCGCTTAGCATGGGCAGTGGTTGCTGAAAGAACTTCAACAATTCGTTATTGACATCGGCTGGGGCTTCTTCAGGCGTGAAGTGTCCACAGTCCAAGTAGGAGACTGTCAAGAGTGAAGCCTTGTTGCTTTGAGGATTGCTTTTGTCCCTTGGCTCAATCCACTCCTCCCATCCTTTGGCATAGGTATCCCGAGGAAAGCTCTTGTCATTGCGTCCCCACAAAACCAAGATAGGAAGGTCCCTGTGAATCTTACCGTACTTTTCTACTTGTTGAACGCTCAGCCAAAGGTTCCTGTAGTACTCCAAAAGAGCATGAATAGCACCTGGCTGAGAGATTGCATCGCGATACATGTCCAATTCGGTGCGCTTCCAACATCCAGCGCACCCTCCACCACCCGGAGCTGCAAACCCATCTGGTTTGTTCGGATTGACTGGGGCACAAATGGTGCCTTCTGTGAGAGTGTTCGATACACACGACAAGGGACTGGGACCACAAGAGGGTGTGGGCCTCATGGTGTGTGTCAGTATCCAACTACGTTGGTAGGACAAGACCGCTTCGGGTATCCATGACGGGAGAAGCTGGCAGCACAGCGTGTACCAAGTGGACCACCAAAGTTGCTGAAAACAAGATGCCGAGGAGTAGTCCATCACAACATCCCTCCAGCGTCCCAGGTGAGGCGCATTCATCACGACTAGCTTCGTGGTATGATGGGGGAATCTTGCAGCAAAGGCCCATCCAATGATGCCGCCCCAATCATGCCCGACGATGTTGGCTTCAGTGTGCCCTAAATGAAGGATCAATGCTCGGATATCTTCTGTTAGTGTCTCCATGTCGTAACCCGAGTGATGCGTCCTTCCTTGGTCATCCGTAGTTGCCCTTGTCGGTGCGCAAGGCGGTTTATCCGTCAAGTTGAAACCACGAAGATCCGGAGCCACCACTCGGTATCCGGCATCTCCCAAGGGGACAATCTGGTGCCGCCAAGTGTACCAGAACTGCGGGAAGCCATGCAAAAGGATGACAAGAGGCTTATCGGTGGCCTTAACCCCTTCATCTTCATTGAGGTTTGTTGTTTCTACCCAATGGTAGTTGATTCCATTAATCATTCCGTGCCTGTGGATCCATTTGGGTCCATGATGATGAGGAATGTGTTTGGTGGTGATTGTCGAGGAAGAAGACAAACGTCTTGCGGGCTTGATTTTGGGGGTTTTCTTGGCCCATCTGGCTGCGTGAAGGGCTCTTGGGAAGCATCCTCCTTGTACCGAGGCTGGGCTGCTTGACCGTGTTGGAGGTAGATGATGGAGCTGCTGGATCTGACTGGCATAGCTAGGATGAAAATGAGCTGGAAAACGATGGTGGTAATGCTGCTGTCCCTCCTGGATCGATGAAAAGGATAGTGAAGTGAGTGAGAGGTGGTCACTATGGTCGCTCAGAACGGTGGGCATGGTCATCAAGTTAAAGTCAATGAGTTCAAGACCTCTCCGTGCTACCCCTTTCGTGCAAACGGCGATGGTGGTCTCGGAACTGGATAAACCTCCTTTGGTGGTTGTCTCATAGATGCTGTTGCCGGTGTCCCCTCGTCCCCATGTCCCGGAAGGTCAAACAAGAGCCGATATAGTCGAAGTGAGAAGTAGCCGCCATAGTTAATCAAGGGCCACATACACAACCGATGCCACCTCGACTAAAACGTCCATTTTCCGTCCAATGTTTTTTTGTTGGCTTTCGGAACGGTCAACCACCGGCTCAGGCAAGGTTTTTCTCGAACGTTCTTGATTGTTGTTCTGGCGAAGTTCTGAACTTTTGGTGCTTCTGGTTTCTCAAACCGCTTTTCTGGCTTCTCTCCACCGCCGCGTGCGCCAAAGCTTGGCGTTACCGAACCCCTTAAGCGAGCGGATCGTGCTCTCTATAATTACCGTACAGTGCGGGCGCATCGTTGCTCGTACTTAGACCGGCCAGATTTATCGTTGCACCTCTCTCACATTTTCAGCAATTTCAGCGAAAGGATTGCAAAGTCCCAGTCCACAGTTCGGAAAACTACGGAGCCATCACGGCAGATGAGCTTTTCCCTTCATACCCAAGGCAGACAATCTCGCTCTGATTGACTAAGCTAACAATAACCATTGCCGTCGTGATAGCTTTCAGGCGTTGACGCATTCATTCATCATTCATTATGCATAACAACAACAACACAATGAGCGCACGGAGACAGAGAACCACGCAATCGCGAATTCGTCATGCCGGGCATGGACCGCGTCGATCATTCACAACAATGGCGCTTTTAGCAATGACAGTATATCCTTCATTGGCAAAAATCCCAATACTTCCAGCTCGAGACCACGTTCCCCAGGACCGCACCTTCGAATTTGGGCGAGAACCATGTCGGCTGAGTTTCAGCTCAGACGGAGGAATGACGTTGATATGTGAAGATGTTTCAGGTCCACCGCAAGCACCGAGTTCAGTAATTGATGTTGGGTCGACATTACCTCCTGCTACAAATGCAGATAGAGAAGAAAATGATGCATCCGCTGGTGTTCCGGTACTGGAAGCTGCAACAAATACGCCAACTGTCGCCACGGCTGAGCCTCCTACCATTTTGCCAACTCTCCCAAGCACGGATAACACAGCAGTGGGTCCCACAATCACTCCTGCTGATACTTCTGCGACAAGCGCGCCCACAAGGGATGAAGCTAACATGTTCCCATTAGAGCCTCCAACCACCAGCCAACCTACAGCGTTGCCTACAGCACGCCCAACCAGTACGCCTACAGAGTTGCCTACAACTAGCCCAACAGGTGTCCCCACAGGCTCTCCAACAGTTGGCCCAACAGGTGTCCCTACAGGCTCTCCAACAGTTGGCCCAACAGGGGTTCCTACAGAGTCTCCCACGACCGAACCCACGGGGGTTCCTACAGGCTCTCCAACAAGTGCTCCAACAAGTGCTCCCACCACGAGTCCAACCACAAGCCCAACCAGTGTTCCTACAGCTAGCCCAACTGATGCTCCTACAAGTTCTCCCACAACTAATCCAACAGGGGCTCCCACAACTAGCCCAACAGCGGATCCTTCTAAGGGCCCAACATGTGTTCCTTCAGGTCGTCCCACAGCCAACCCAACACTATCTCCCACAATTGGTCCCACTGTGGCTCCAACGGGTTCTCCTACAGTTGGTCCCACTGTGGCTCCAACAGGTTCTCCTACAATTGGCCCCACTGTGGCTCCAACTGGCTCTCCTACAATTGGACCAACTGTGGCTCCAACAACTTCTCCTACAATTGGCCCAACTGTGGCTCCAACAAGTTCTCCCACAGTTTCTCCAACAGGGGCCCCTACAAGTATTCCAACCATTACACCCACTCTGTCGCCCACAATAATGCCCACTATCAATCCCACAACAAGTCCAACTTCTTCGCCAACTATTGCACCCACAGTGTCCCCAACAGATGCGCCAACAACAGAAGACGTATCCGAACTAGGCAATCCGTATGTGACATCAGCGCCATCGCAAGCACACTCTGTCTACACTACAGCGATCAACACAATGTCGCCAACTCAGTCGAAGCTGCACCCGACTTACCGTCCCACCACGGGCGGAATGATCAAGCTTTCTGATACACCTACTCCCAGCATAGCTCCTAGCATTTTGCCAAGCATGGCGGAAGACGGCGATCGAGAAGACGAGTCAGAATCAGGACAGGCCATTTATCCGAATTCCGAGACGAATCATCCAACCACGTCTCCTTCGTTGACGCCTTCATCGGCCCCTTCTTCGGCGCCGTCCGAGAGTCCCAGCACAACACCGACACAGAAACCGACCAAGCCTCCTAAGGGGAAAAGTCCGAGCCCAACAAACTATCCAAGCGCCAGACCATCTACTGGTAGTCCAATGTATTACTTCGTTGTAGGATCCACCGCTGCACCGACGACTGATTCACCGACGACTGATACACCAACGACTGATGCGCCGACGACTGATGCACCGACAACGCCGTTGCCAACAGCAATTCCTTCTTATTCCCCAACTCAGAGCAACGTTCCCACCATTGAGAAATACGAAACAGACACCCCAGGACCACCAACATATCCAACGACGCCTCTACCAACCAAAACGCCAAGCGAAGCTCCTACTTCGGCACCCACACAAGTTGAAACCGACGGTGGTGAAAGCATTGAAGTAACTACAGCTGAACAAAGTGCACAAGACAGTGGCGGCTTCACGTTCAACTTCCCAACTACGCCGAGTCCAGGGAACGCAACTAGTGCGCCCAGCAGCACAAACTCGGATGGTTCAGCTTTCGTGTTCCCGACAAGCGCGCCTGTTGTCACACTTGATGCTGCAACGAACAGCCCTGCTCCTTCAATGCTAGTACAAATCATAATGACAGAATCCCCAGCCGTCCAAGTTGGAAGGGAAATAGATGATACTTCGTCGCCTATTACTCTCGACGCAAATGGAGCGACCAACCCGTCCGAATCATTTCCATCACCTACAGTCCCTCCTACCGCCAGGCCAACTCGTTTGCCGACAACCAAATCGCCAACTTTTCTTCCGACTGCTTTGCCCACGAATTCTCCGACAACAAGTCCCTCAGATATTCCCACTGGGTCGCCTTCAATGGTCCCATCTGACAGTCCCACAGCAGTTCCTTCCGCATCACCCTCGATGGCTCCATCCCTCATGCCCACTGCGTCGCCCTCCATTGCTCCATCAGACAGTCCCTCAAATGACCCTTCTTTATCACCCTCGTTGAATCCGACGGAGAGTCCCTCAGATGTTCCCTCAGCACCACCATCAGCGGTTCCAACCAATGTGCACAGTGAAGAACCAACAGCAGTAACTATCATACCCACCAGCGAAGGAACAAGTGAGGAAGCTGTGGTCACATCATCTCCCACCACCACAACTGCAAATGCTTTTCCAGACTATTCACCAAGTCCAAGTTTTGGGGATGTAGATGTCCCACTAACATCAGTTCCCACTACAGGCAGCTCAATCAAAGAAAAGGAAACTGAAATGCTCACTGGGGCTCCTACAAGGGATGATGCTGAATCTTTGACCCAATCCCCAACCGACTCTGGTGGATACCATTTTGACATCACAAGCTCTCCTGTGGCTTCCCCAATTATGGAGGCATCAACAAATGTACCAACGGAAGAAGCTACACAAGAAGATGCTTCATCATTAGTTGAAGATCCTGATGCTACCAGTTCCCCCACTGATCCTGAATCGGTAGCAACAATGATGCCTACTGGTTCCTCTTCAACAAGTGCACCAACAATAGAGACCACAGAAGAAACTTCCCAAGAAGATGATTCACCATTATTTGATCATCCTGTCAGTACCAATTCTCCCACTATTGATTTGACGGGTTCTGCTACAGCTGTACCAACCACGGAATCTACAACACGCGAATCAGGCTCTGTAACCACCTCGCCCACTATGGAGACAACCGAAGAAACTTCACAAGAAGATGCATCACCAGTTAGTACAAGTTCAACCACAACCATGGAGCCTACTGGTTCTTCTTCAACAAGCACACCAACTATGGATGCCACAACAGAAGCTTCACAAGAAGATGCCTCACCTTTGTTTGATGATGCAGCTAGTACAAGTTCAACCACAACAATGGAACCTACTGGTTCTTCTTCAACAAGCACACCAACCATGGAGACCACAGCAGAAACTACCGAGGAAGATGCCTCTCCATTGTTTGGAAACCCAGCTAGTACAAGTTCAACCACTACAATGGAGCCTACTGGTTCTTCTTCAACAACCACACCAACAATGGAGGCCACAGAAGAAACCACACAGGAAGACGAATCACCATTGTTTGGTGACCCGGCTAAAACCAGTTCTCCTACAGCCAATGCAGCAACAGGCTCTCCCGAATTTGAAACAACAATGGAGCCTACCAATTCTTCATCAACAATCTCACCAACCATAGAGACCACAGAAGAAACCACACAGGAAGATGCCTCACCATTGTTTGGCGATCCAGCTAGTACAAGCTCAACTACAACAATGGAGCCCACTGGTTCTTCTTCAACAAGCTCACCAACCATGGATACAACAGGAGAAAGTTCGCAAGAAGATGCATCTCCATTGCTTGGTGGGATCAAGCTAGTACAAGTTCAACCACTACAATCGAGCCTACCTTCTTCCTCGACAATCACACCAACAATAGAGACAACAGAAGAAACTTCACAAGAAGATGCTACACCATTGGATGATCCAGCTAGCAGTACAAGTTCAACCACAACAATCGAGCCTACTGGATCCTCTTCCGCTTCAACAAGCTCACCAACCATGGAGACCACAGAAGAAACTACACAGGAGGATGTCTCTCCATCGTTTGGCATTCATCTAGTAGTACGCCCACAACTACTACCACTACCATGGAGCCTACCGCCTTCTCTTCCTCATCAACAAGCTCACCAACAATGGAGACCACAGGAGAAACTACATTGGAAGATGCCTCTCCAAATTTTGGTGGTGATCAAGCTAGTACAACCACTACAATGCATCCTACTGGTTCTTCTTCAACAACCACACCAACCATGGAGACAACACAAGAAACTACACAGGAAGATGCCTCTTCAATGGAGCCTACTGGTTCTTCTTCAACAAGCTCACCAACCATGGAGACCACAGCAGAAACGTCACAGGAAGATGCTAAACCATTGGATGATCCAGCTAGTAGTACAAGTTCATCCACAACAATGGAGCCTACTGGTTCCTCTTCCTCTTCAACAAGCTCACCAACCATGGAGACCACAGAAGAAACTACACAGGAAGATGTCTCTCCATCGTTTGGCGATTCATCTAGTACAAGTTCATCCACAACAATGGAGCCTACTGCCTCCTCTTCCTCATCAACAAGCTCGCCTACCATGGAGACCACAGAAGAAACTACATTGGAAGATGCCTCACCACTGTTTGGCGATTCGGATAGCACCAGTTCTCCTACAGCCAATGCTGGAACTGGATCTCCTGGATCTGAACAACAATGGAGCCTACTGGTTCTTCTTCAACAAGCTCACCAACCATGGAGACCACAGAAGAAAGTACACAGGAAGATGAATCACCATTGTTTGATGATGCAGATACTACCAATTCTCCCACTGCTGCTGTCACAAACTCCCCTTTGTCTACACCAACAGTAGCCACAAGTTCCACCTCTGTGCCCACTGAGGAAATGACACAAGAGGATGCTTCAGGACTCTTTGACAACCCAGATAGCACTGTTTCTCCCACAGCTGCTTCAACAGGCTTCCCTACATCAGTGCCAACTGCAGAAAATACTGGTGGTGCAAGCAAATCAAGCAACCAACCAACAGCAGAGCTCACACATGAGAACACTTCTCCTGGTTCTCCTACAACTGCAGCTTCCAGTTTGACTTCCTTGACATTTGTGCCAACACAGGAGACAACTCAAGAAGACATCTCAGAACTGATTGATGCCCCAGATAGTACCTTGACCCCTTCCACTGGCGCCACACACCTTCCCACATCTCCGCCAACTATAGACTCTACAACAAGCGCAAGCTCTTCAACAACAAGTTCACCAACAATTTTTGCCTCAGAAGAAAACACACAAGAAAATGTTTGGACGGCTCTGCCAGTCTATGAAGACATGGACAATACATCTTATCCAACTTCTTCAGCTAGTGGATCTCCTGCATCACTGCCAACAATGGCTCCTTCAATTTTTAGCTCACTGGCAAACGTTGCTACAGAAGTTACTAAGGAAGAGAGCATTTTGACCTCACCTCCATTTTTTGATGACTACAAAACAACTGATCCCACATCTGAAACAACAGAGGTTCCTACATCTCCACCAACCATGGGATCTTCAGCTGGTTCAACCTCATGGACAGGGTCACCAACAATGGCCACAACAGAAGAAACCACACAAGAAGATGCTCTACCGCTGCTTGATGACCCAGACAGGACAACATCTGTGCCAACAGAGGAGACTGCACAAGAGAACATTTCAGCACTGACTGGTGGCCCAGCTGAAACATTCTCTCCCTCTGCTGGTGCCACGGGCTCTCCAACAACTCTACAAACTATGGAATCTACAAGTGCAAGTTCTACATCTGAAGAGAGTATTTCCACCTCAACCCCATCATTTGAGACCATCTATCCGACTGCTCTTGATAGCAGCACAGTGGTTGACAGTGTTCACAGCAGTTTGCCAGAAAGTCTAAATACTGGAATCCCCACTGAGGCGCCCAATGAAACTCCTCTTGATAGTCCCACTTCAGTTCCAGTGGTAACTCCTACAGCTCCCACTAAAAGCCCCACCGCGAGCCCTCATGCTGATGTCATGCCAACGGTGTTGATTCTTGACGAGCAAACCAAGACTCCATCAGTGCAGACCGATGGCGAAGAAGAGGTGCATTTAGGTGACGAAACTGCTGCAACCAGTACGACCTCACCTTCTGCTGACCAAACTATTGAGCTTTGGGGATCTGGTGAAAACCTCGATTCTGTGTCCGGCGCAAACGTCACCGCCAGTGAAATACCAACACTATCGCCGACTGTCTCCGTCGGAGGGGTGGACGGGCCAACAGGCAGCGCTGCGTTTACGGCGTCGCCCACATTCATTCAGGATAGAGAAGATGAACCTCCAGAGGATGTCATCACGCTCACATTCCATCCGCTACACTCATCAACTAACAAACCATCAGCTCATCCGTCGCAAGCCCCCTCAGCGCGACCATCGCTGTCTCCCAGCGACTTTCCCTCTGTTGCTCCAACCGAACCAGCACCAACAACAAGGTGCGGGACAACTCCCAATGAACGGCGCGCAGACATTTACACTGTCGCAGCTGCAATTTCTGGCTACGAAGTGTTTGACGACGTGGAGGGCCCCCATTATCAAGCAGTCAGGTGGTTGATGATTTCGGATGATGTTCAAATTTGCGCCAGCGATGAGAACATGGTCCAGCGATATGTACTGGCGCTGCTGTACTATGCAACATCAGGTGACATTAACTGGCGGAAGTGCTCACAAAGCGCAGACACACCTTGTCCCGAAGGCCATGTCAGGTTCCTTAGCGGAACTGATGAATGCGACTGGGACGGTGTCACATGCGAAGATGGCAAAGTCACTCACCTCAATCTTGGTAAGGCAACTCGTCGTTTCTGCGCCCGCAACGCAACCCTGCAGGATTGTGATTCTAAATCATGCTTTCTACCTCTCCCATTGTTCCCTTGTAGATGAACGGCAACTTCATGGACAACTCCCGCATGAGTTGTCCGCTTTAGATGAGCTGCAAGAAATAGATATGGATAGCAACTGGCTGGTCGGTACGATTCCAGAGACTCTTGGCAGTCTTTCCAAACTAGAAATCCTCGATCTCGACAGGAATTCCTTGTCGGGAACGATTCCTGAATCGATTTACTCTGCACCATCCCTTCGGAATATTGATCTTGATTACAACAGCTTGTCGGGGTCCATCTCGACGGCGATCGGAAACCTCAGCAACCTGTTCTTCCTGCAAGTCGACTTCAACCAGTTTACGGGCACCATCCCAACCGAGGTGGGCAACCTCCCGAACGTTCACTACTTTTCCGTTTTGGGCAACGATTTCGATGGTGAAATACCCACGGAGCTTTGCAATGGGTTTGTTCATATTTATGCCAATTGCTTCATGTGTGACGAGGCAGGTTCGTGTTGTACAGCTTGCCTGCCTGGTGAATCATAAAGCTCGGCGAAGAAGCAACATATTATTCGCGATGTTGGGTTCAGCTTCCTCATCCTTTTTCTTGTTGGCTGCGTGCTGTCCGCATGCGCCACCCGCCACCCGCTCAGCATCAACACGGCATCAACATACCGTTCCCATGCTTCCCCTGGAAGGTTTCCTAAAACTCGCAGCCCCGCATCCCGCTACTTGGTTGGCTGCAACCACTGGTGAAAAAGTGTACAACAGACATATCTTCATCTATAAACTCATAACGATTAATAACAAGACCTGACATATGCATCCTATCTTTTCAAATTTCAGAAGGCGTACTTCAAGTAGTCTACTGTTACCGCTGGTATCATGCATCGCAGTCCTGTCTCGGATTGGAACATTGCAGCTATAGCTAGAAACGTTGCTTCACGGTGGAGTCAACGTAGCAAGGATTTGCCTGTATACTAGTTGCAGTCTCCGTGCCTGTCGCCGTGCTCGTCTTGTCTTGTACAGTACCAAGCAGGGTGTTCATCTCATTCGCCTTGATCTTGGCACCCCACTTGGTGTAAGACGAGAGAGCACTTTCTATGAATGGTTGGGCTTCCTTGTCCCGTCCACGTTTTCGTAACGCCATGGCGGCACGTTCAGCCGCGATGCTCTGCTCCATTAGGGCACCCTCTTTCTCCGCCAACTCCATAGCACGCTGGTACTTCCGCAGACCAGAATCAAGCTTTCCATTTACAACGTCGAATTCGGCCTCCAAGATAACTGCATTCTTGAGGCAGTTTTCAGGCGAAACCACGGCCTGCCTTTGGAACCGCATCAGAGTCCATCGCGCTCTATTGAGCAACTTTTGTCGCTGCCGAAAACCTTTGCAACGCTCCGCCCGTGACAGGTTTGCCATGGCATCGACGAATGTTCCCAACCGCACGGCCATCACCATGACCACTTTTTCGTCCAGTTTTCTCAATCCCTTGCTCATGAGCCTGCACCTCTCCCAGTCCTGATAGAGAAACGCCGCCACCAGATTCAGCCCGTAAAGTTCATACTGCAGTGACTGATGACCTTCGGCTTTGGCGAAACGAAGCGTTTTTTCAAAGTTGATGAATTCCCCGTCCAGAATGGAAGGATTCCTCGATTCTTCTCCCAATAGATTTGCCACTAGTTGCATCAGCACCTCGTGATAGGCAAGGACTAGATGCTGCTTATATGCCACAAATGTCTCCCTGTAGACTTTCATGTCGCGGAATACCCGGCCCAGAGGTTGAGATGAGTACATGGCGCAATGGCATGAGAATTGGGCACCGTACATGGCAAACTCTGTATCACCCGTCGTCATGCCATAGCGAAACGAGCTGAGTAATGGATCAATGGACAGTCGCACTGGATACTTGGAAGGATAGCTAAAGAGATGCGACATGAGCAAGACTCGAGCGGCCCATGCTTGCCCCCCAATCAACTGGTTCAATTCGATTCCAAGGTCTGCAAAACGACATCCTTCGTCAATCTTTCCCAGCGAACAGAGAATCAGTCCATACGACGTGAATCCAAATCCACTCATGGCTGACAGACCGTGCCGTAATGTGATTTGTACCATTCGCATGGCCAATAGCGGCGCCAAGAGTGGTTTGGAAATGAAAAAGTAGATGAACACGACGTTCAAGATGCTCATGGCAGCGGACTTTTCCCAATTATCCATGAGTTCCAGATCCAAAATCTTGTCATTGGTCATTCCTTGGAGCATCATGCTAGTCCGCACAAACTCTCCAACCACATGCATCAACCCACCATTTCTCGGCAGTGGTTCATGGAGCTCCTCCAGCACCCCCAAAGAGACATCAATGGCATCTTGTAAGCGATGCATGGATCCCAACGAATAGATGCGCGTCGAGTATGCCTGAATCTTGTCTTGCATACAGGTGGCATTCGCTAGGATTTGATCCACCAACTCTTTGCTGGCTTGCGGGTTGCCAATGGCATACTCCACTTCAGCCGCATGCGTGTAGAGTGGCAATGCCAAGGAATAACAGTCACTCCAGAGCCGTCCTCCCAACAATTCAATTCCCGATTCAAAGTAAGACGCGGCGGTTCGAAACGACGATGCCCGCAGGACCAATTTGCCCGCGTGCAAACAGAGTCGTGCCGCACTGACTCGTTCTTCCTGGTCGGTAATGAGATGCATGCCTCCCAATTGCAATTGATGGACAATCAGAGGTGAATTGTCGAGTAGTTCTTGCGATGTTTCGTACGAGTTCCAGAGCCGTCGACAGAGGAACAAGTGAAAGGCGGGTTTGTCGTCAATCATGGAGTAGACAGCTTGTTGTACTCTGTCGTGCACAAAGGCGTAGTGGCGTCCATCCGTTGCCGGTACGAGAAAACACTTTTGTTGCAAGGATTCGACGTACGGCGAACAATCATTTGGTTGTTGTCCTTCTTGTCCAGTGTCAGTAATAATAATCCGATCCATAATGGCCTTGTCAAAGGTGGCTCCAAAGCACGCCGCAACAAACAAGACTTCCCGTAGTGGCGTCGGAAGTTTTTGTATTTTGGAACAGAGGAGTCCGACAATATCTTTTCCGGTGGATGCAAAAAAGGAATTGAGCGCGGCATAGTCGACCGTGACGACACCCTCGACGGTGCGGTGGAGCAATCCATTTTCCGAGAGAGACCGTAGAAATTGAATGGTAAAGAACGGATTGCCTTGGGTGTGATCGTGTACCACTTTGGCCAGTGCTTCACACTCTGATATTGAGGCAAGTTGAAAAATATCCAAAAGGAGCGTTTGCATGGCATCCAATGTCAAGGGTCCCACTCGGATTTCGGTAATGTCGAGTTCGTAACTGTCTTCCAATCTCCGTAACATAATGGACAAATCATCTTGCACGCCAACTTCATTTCCTCGACACGCGCCCAGTACCACGAGTCCTTCCACGTCGGGATGGGTGAGTATCGATGCCAACAAATCGACGCATTCCTTGTTGGCCCATTGCAGGTCGTCGAGAAATAACACCACGGGATGATCGGTGGAACAAATGACACCCAAAAAGGCGGAAAAGACAAATTGGAATCGTTTCTGAACTTCCAATCCTGGCGGCATACTGCTAGTGTTGTCATTGTCGCGATGATGATGATGATGATGATGATTGTTGTGGTTGGACGCCAGCACGTCTTGCAATGCCGGGATCATGTGGGTCAAGAGTTGTTGTCCTTCGTCTCCCACGGCGGCTGTCACAGCCTGTGCCATTTCCTGTCGTTGTTCGTGAGGTACCTTCTCCATGACACATCGCGCATACTCGGTAAATGCCTGTACAAACGCTCCAAAGCTTTCCATGGGTGGCGGTTTACTCATTTCGTCTTGCTCTTGCTGTCGTTGCAGGGACGACAATTGATCGAATTTGCCCCACAAAAAGTAGCCGTTGCGGGCTTGGACGGGGCTGCGGAGACTCCGCGCCAGAACAGTCTTGCCATTGCCACTGTTTCCCGTAATCAACACGAGCTCGTTTTGAAGGGCTTCTCCCGATACAATCGCCGTGAAACGATCCAACAATTGTTGTTGCTCGTCTTCGCGGTCGTATAGCTTGCTAAAGTCGCCCATTAACATCGTTGGGGATTCTGTCATGGTGTTGTCATGAGCTAGTACTCTTGCGTCCAAGGAAGACTTGCTGGTATCCATGCTATCCTACCGTATCGATCGTACTGCTAGCTAGATAGCTAATATAACTCCAAACCACCAAAGGATAGGTTGTTGTGGATGTGTTTCTTGGACACACTGGTCTTCCTTGCTTGGCCGGAAGCTCTTCACTGTAGCAACGAAGCAACCTGAGAAGAAAAGAAAATGAGGCAACCAGTGATGAGACAGTTAGTTTGGAGACGAAGAGACCTCACCGCATGGTGGCAAAAGCGGCTTGCTGTGGCAAAAACGCTGTGGAAGCAATTACATGTATTAATTAATTAATTTGTTGAAGTTGTCCAACCGAACCAATAACAAATCCTCTTGCAACAGTCACCAGGCATGTTTCAATGTCAGTGGCGAAACATCGCAAAGCCTTTTGAACAATTAGCCATTAGAGCTGCTTTTAAAAAAAGGCAAGTCATCCAGACTTGTGTGGTTCACACGTCTGACTCGAAACGAACCTCAGAGAATTTGAAGGAAAAGCAAACTTTGGAGCCAATAGAAACGAGAAAGGAGTCAAGTCTATTAGCTATCCAGAAGGAACCATGGCAAGAACGAACAAACAACAGACAAAACAACCCAAGCCACTACAAGGACAGGCTCGGAATCCCGTTGCCAATGAAACGATCAAAATGCTATTGAAGGGACAAGTATCCCCCAATTACAAGAATGATGCATCGTCCAAACGACGTTTGGCGGCGGCACTCCAGTCGGCGCAATTAATCCCCGACACGAGGATGTTGCCCATTCCTGCCAGATATACGGCTACGACGTCCCCACAGGTGATCCTGTACAGAGGTGGATCCTGGGAGGCTGCCGAATGGGTTTTGGAACGGCTACAACAACCGCACCACCGTCAATACTACCCAACGAGCGACAACACGTGGGGCAAACCAGTGGTGTTGGATTACGCGTCCGACTCCAACCCAGGTGGATGCTGGAGAGGAAATCAATACGGGACACAAGAAGAACATCTTTGCCGGACGTCGTCGCTGGGGTTGAGTCTGGAGCGATTGCAATTGCAGCTGCAACGCCCCTACTCGATTCCGACCCATGGCTGCGTCTACGTGCAAGACGTGGCGGTCCTGTTGTGTGAAAGCACTGGTCACTGGCGTAATCGACCTCTGTGGTGCTCTGTTATTGCGGCGGCTCTTCGGAACGCCGACAATCACAAAGACTTCATTCAAGCCAAGGTACGGGGAGTGGTGGCAGCAGCCAGTGGACATGGCGCGTTGGTGGGAGGAGCGTGGGGGTGCGGAGCCTTTGGCAATGACACGGCAGATGTTGCCGAAGCTTGGCGCGTAGCCGCGCTTCGGGCCCCTTCTGACATGGCCTTTCTTGTCATGGCGCTACCTAACAAGGAAGCTTTCGCGGTCTTTCGCCAGGTGTTCCCAGACTCATTGGTGATTGACCCACAGCAACCACAAGGAAATACGATCAAGAGGAGAAAATAAGTGAGCTAAACAAAAAATGTGGGTGAGAACTCAATGCCGCTACATCCTTTAATTGGCCGAGGCCGACCTGTTGGGGGAAATGGATGGCAGCCCTTCGGTACTTTGCCAACCACACGTTGCTCCCATGCGGCGATCACCACTGCGACGGGAACGTCCAAATTGCGTATCGCCTAGTATAGCCAGGTTGACAACTGCTAGTGTATATCTGTCAGCAAAAGCGGCTCCTTTGAAAACGAGTTTCTTAGTAAACAACCTCTGCCTTACCCTCACTAATGATCACCGCCTAGAAAGCTCCGGCCTCAGCAAGCTCCAAATCTCCAGCAGCCATGACATCATAGACGCAATGATCCTTTTGGTCTCCCCAGTGTTCACAGACCTTCTCCGCAGCAGTCTGGGCAATAGATTCACCAAGACGGCGGCCCACCTGTTTCAAACTAGGCATATTGCAAGTGACCGGGTGCTGTGGATGCCTGTTGCTTTGGAAGAGCTTGGGTTCGCTTTCAAGAACCTGCCATTCGTTTCCAAAGGCATAGTCATCTGTCAGGGCAGTTCCATTGCGGGCAAGCCACTTGCCAGTCTTGTAGTCTCCCAAAAGACCCTTGCTATTTTCATACTCTAAAGGAGTGGCACCAACTGTCTTGATGCTGAGAAGGTCCTTGAAGGATTGGAGGACAATCTGCTTTCCCCTGCCAAGCTCAATCACAAACATGTCCTGCTTGGAGCTCTTCTTCTCGTGTTTGATGGAGTATTTGTCAATCTTGTCCAGCTCAGCATTGGAGATTCCATTCACCATGTAACCACCATATTCACCGACCTCCAAAGTGTCCTCTCCAATGCGGACAGCAGCAGACTCAATGTAAGAATACTGGTTGCGCGCCTTTGTCCTAATGTGGATGTCCAATCCAGTTCCCTCATCAAACTCGGGACTGCTGATAAAGATCAAGTCACACTCTCCGTGGAAGTCATACCACTCATTCATCCATGTCTAATCGTGAACAAAGGAGAGAACACTTGGTTAGTCCACAAAAAAGTTTCATCACCTGGGCTGATCATGGCTGGCTCCATCGTACCTTGAAGTGTGGGTCTCCCATACCATAAGCAGCTCGAAGCTGTGCTTCCGTATAACCCAGGGAAACGTGCAACTGGTACGAGGCACCAGTTTGAACCGGGCCCATTGGGGGTCTTACTCGAGGATCATATCGACCCACAGCAATGGTGTATGTGCCAGCAGTAGGGAAGTTGTGGGTAAAGTAGGGGTCACGGGGCGTATTTGAGCCAGGATCACGACCACCATTATTCCCGACTCGAATGACATTTCCATTTGAGTCATACAGAATGAGATACGAATCATAATATCGTATCAGTGAGGTGGTATGGTCAATGTCAAAGATGGAAGCAATCATTCCTGGACTGGGGACGGAAAATGAGTAATAATCCAAAGTACCATCCCCAGTGCCCTCAATGGTTACCCAAGGAAGTGTAGCAGAGTTTGAAATAATAGGATTGTACCCTTGAGTGAAGGCAGCGGCAGGGATTAGCTGCAAAGTGCAAAGTAGAAGGTCAAGGTGAGCGGAAGGACATGCAAATTTTATAATTGATGACTACACTCCAAACTCGAATATAAGAAACTCCACTATAAGAAAGCGAGCCCTGAGATTCTAGAAAATGTTAAGAACATCTTGATGCTGAAATATCACAGACTTGTAAGAAAGCTTCCCAGTATTAAGACCTCAAAGCATAAGAAATACTACTAGTCTGACACCATGAAAATGCTTCAAACTTGTGCTTACATCTGCAAAATTTTCTGCCTCACGGCAGACACAGTGATCACCATCTGTATTTGATCCAACCCAATTTATGATTCCTGAGCAAGTTGAACCAAAATGCCCAGGTTCATTGCGTGTATCCAAGCACTGCCCTGCTTGACCTAGAAGCATAGTAAGAAAGTCTTCTATGCTGAAATTGGCTTGTTTTGTTAGAAACAATCTGAGGGGCAAAAATGGTGCTGTACGGTAAGAAAGGCCCAGGGCTGCACCGAATTTAGAGATTTCTTATATGTGAGTTTGGAGTGTAGAGTGAGGACTAACCTGAGCAGTGTTAATGTCGTTGTTGGGTTCTTGTTCTTGAACGACAGAAGCCTGAGCCACTGGCACGAGAGTCAAAACTGCAGCAATGATCGAGGAAAAATTTCATGGTTGCCAATGAAAAGATGCAATTCTGAAGTCTTCAGAATTGAGATTGTGAGGGAGGCGACTTTTTGGTGTGGAGAGTGGAGGGCTGAAAGTACTAGCTAGTAGCAGCGAGGTGGCGGATGCTCTACTGGTACCGGGTACCGGTAGCTGCGCAACAATCGACCACTGTTATGATAGAAAAAACTGTTCTTTCTTGAGCATCCTCAATCCTCAAATCATTTCTCTTCTTCCAATTAGTACAGCGTGCTGTATACAGAATTGTTGCGATTTCTACAAAGAGCGACTGAATAGATTTAGAGCGTGCGAACTTGTACATTTTGTAGTGCTCTTTCTAACACCATGAGCTCAGAATACTAGCTAGTGCAAAATTTTGAATAGTGGAAACGGTAAATGGTCTAGCTAGCTTCATCGATCAAAACCTTCATATTGATGTCTCTTCTTATGCAGTACTGGAGTCCTGAATACTAGTATTTTATTAGAATACTCAGTAGATAATACTCGTACCAGTATTCGTAGCTACTTGAGGGAAAAATAAATACTCTACTGAGTACGTAGCTATTGCTGATTGCTGCGTACTGTACCAGTTCAGATCCAACCAAATGTCATCAGCTATAAGCAAAGAGCGATGTCATGACTGATGACTCTCGACTGAGTACCGGTACTCAGAGTGAGCTCCAGAGTAGCTGGTACCGGTACCTACCTCCAAGGTCGGGAAACCATTATGAAGTTTTGAAATTTTTCAAACAGTTTTAGTTTCTCATTTTAGTTTCATTTTCTCATTTCTAGTTTCTCAAGTTGAGAAACTAACAGTTTATTTTCTCATTTGAGATAATAGTTTCTCACTTCTGCTGTACGTTTACTATTAGTTTCTGCTATAGTTTCTCATTTCAAAAGATAGTTTCTCATTTTCGACAAAGAAACTAACTTTCTCATTTGAGAAATTAGTTTCTCAAATGAGAAAGTACACTGTAGTTTCCCAAATGAGAAACTGTCAAAAAGGATTTCAGTCATGCTTCCGGACCTTGCTGCTCATGAACGTAGTTACCGGTATGAACATATGAACGTACTGCTAATAAAAGATAAAGACTGGCTGCTGCCAGTTGCCATGGCTGTCTTATAGTAAAGACTGGCAGATCAAATAAATAGCCAGAATCTTGTGCAGTGGCTATTAATACAGTACCGCTACCTCTTGCTGTCCGGTACCGGTACCGGTAGCCCTGGGACACTACGGTACTGCCGTTCCAGTGTTGATTATTGTTACACACGCCTTAGAGCCAGTCCACACTCTATTCGAAGCACACACAATCCAAGTTCAAGAATCGAAGAATCGAAGCTTTTTCCATTCAATGACCTGCAATCGTGCTTGACTTCACCTTCCCAATCCAACCCCAGACTACGATCTCGATCCAAGTTACCTGGTCAAAAAATCTACCTTTCCATAGAAGTTTGGGGTATCCCTACCCCTACAGCAAGTTTGAATGGAAAAAACTCGATATTTTGATTCTCGATGTTTTTCGATCGCTGATATCCATGGTCACGTTCCGGCTAAGGGTTAGAGTTATGAATCCCGCGAACGGGAAAATGAATCCCTTTTTCGAATTGATGAATCCCTTCAGAGGCAGTGAGCACTCTCGATGGGTCTGTGCCGCTGTTAATGGCTCGTATGACCACTGTTTCCATCGAGAATGCCCACTTCCTCTCAAAGGATACATCAAACTAACTAATAGGCACTCGTGACTTGCTTATCAGAGGACGATTTGCCGCACATTACGTGTAATAGTGACATAGGAATGTTCGTCGAGTTGGTTAATGAAGATGCGGCGGTGTACGGCGGCCGATTCGATATTTTGGCCAAGACTACATCGTGGGAACGTTCCTAGGCTTATGAGGGAAGGATGGAAGCAGCGGGGAGTCATGGGCGAAGCTAACAAAGAAGTAGGAGCAGTAGGGAGGAGAAGCAGTTAGCAGCCACCATGGCGTTCGAGATGGCGTTCGAGACTGATGATTCCGACGATGATGCCATGGCTCTAGAGCTGTCGACACCAACAGAGCCCGACACCCTGGAAGACTTTTTTGAAGAGGCTGATCTTCATTGGTTGTCAGCTGATCAGACTCTCTCTTGGACGCCTATACGGAGCTAATGAATCACTTCTACTTCTCCTACTTGAAGCCGTTCTACGAATACTCCACAACAGACCTGAACGAAAGGCTCGGTGCTACTCTTGGTCATGCAATCGAGGAGGTCGAGCATCTTGATGAGCACTCATTCTGGACAAACTATGGGGTTTGGAGAGCACTCAACGTTGATGCTGAAATCAGCCAAGGAATATCTTTCCCGCTCCCACCGGCAGCAAGATTCATTCCATTCCAGAATGCCTATTGGAATGCAATGAAAGGTCCTTCTGATACCACAACGAAGCTGATTGACAATGTCGAAGAGAAGCTTGGCATTCGAACACCTCGAAACATCGCAACGGCTCGTCTTCTAACAATCGGTGGTGTTGCCTTCCACAGGACAAACCAAATGATCAAGACGAAGCTCTCCAAGCACAGCACCATCTTTAACGCTAGACATGCTGCCAACAACAGAGTCGACATGTCGCGAAGTATTGACTTGCTCATCCGTTGCATGGAGCAGGAACGGACAGGACCTGGTGCTGCTGCTGCGACTGCTTCCAACGGCAACAGTCGTCCTCTAATTGTTGCACCGGAAACACCTCCCCAACGTTTAAGGAGTCCGCAAAGCTTGGATGGGCTGACAGTTTGCAGGCTGGCTACACCCCCTGCAGAGGACGAGCTCTCAACGCT